CAAAACAAAAACTAAAGACCAGTTTTGGTTCGGATATAAAGTAAAGAATTGAGTAACATAATTGTGTTTTCATCTTATCTATACAAAAGATATTAATAAGAATACTATTTGATCATATTCTTTGTATACTAAGTTTAGATCAAAATTAGGACAAGACATAAATATATACTTGTAATATCAAATCATGTTCGGATTTGATAGTAGTGTAGGATATTAAATTGAAAGTGATAAAACTTCCACCCATGTATCCAATGCAATCCAATACAAAACCGTATTTAGCAAAATTATTGAAAACCAACAACCGTCTTCATTTCTTTTCCTTGGAATATTTTCGTTCATTCCTCCTTAATTCGAACAAAAAATCTAGTATAGTAGTTTCAATATCAATTGAAATAAATTGGGTTTAAAATAACCAAAAAAAAAATTGACAAAATTATAATCAATCATCCCAAAATAGTATTTCATTATTTCTGAAATTGACAAAATAAAAATTGTAAACATAAAAATAAAAATATTTGAAAGATCCTAGATTCATAATTTAAACAGTGTACTAGTTTTTGATATTATAGACCAATAAATCTTTGGTCTAATGATACTTTTTATCTTGTGAATGCTCTGTATTCTTGAGATCAAAGGTTCAAGTCCTGCTCCCGCTCCCCTTCCCTCCCCATACAAAAAAATTGAAAAATAGAAAAAAAAAAAAAAAAAAAAGAGAATGAATAAAAGGTTTTTGATACCATGGGCCAAACATTCCTAAAAATTGAACATAGAATATCAACATTTGTTACCAAATGCAAACAATTCCACAAACTTAGTAAAAACATAGCAATTCAAATATACCCTCGCCTCATCATATGCCTAATCCAAGCAGGCCACAAGCAGACTAAAGAAAAAATCTACTTGTAATGGGTCTCACAATCTTTTACTAATTTCTTTCAATGTTTAACAATCTTTGAGTCCCACACAAAAATCATCTTTTATTTGGTTGCAAATTCTAAATGACGTCATTCATCACCTTGTTGAGAAATAATTGCTTAAGATAATAGAAAATGTTTTTAGTTTTTTAGATTTTTTAAAAAAATCTAAATGCCCCCTCTCTGTCTCTATCTCTCGCTCTCTCGCACACACACACATACCTGATCAGCATGATCTCCCATAAAAAAGTCTTTTGTTGACTTCACCAGCTTTGAAATAAATCACGGAATTGCAAGAAAACATTATTTCATTCTTGAAAATCATTGGCTATCAATTTTGTTCAATTAAGTCTTTTCATCAATTTGCACCATTAGGTCCACTAGAAACTAACTCCATTTAATCTATTTTCTCTGGTATTATTGACCCCATCTTGTTAGACTACAATTGTACAAAAATAAATTATGAGTTCAGATAAAATTAATCTTTTAAAGGAGGGGGCCGGGGGGGTTTCGTTATGTGTTTTCTTTTAGGATTTGAGTTTGATAGTGAAGAAGGTAAAAACTAAAGTTAATTATATTTGTGGTTCAAAATAAAAACTTTCGAAGTCAAATTACACAAAAAAAAAAAGGGATAATTCTTATATTTTTGGAAATAATCTTGAACATTGTTGAATTTTTATAAGTTAAGAATTTAATTTAATATTAGATAGATGGTCAAAGCTATCATTTAGAAAAATTAAAATATAGGATAAATTACACATACACTGCCTAAATTATCATCATTTTTCACTTTAGCCTCTCAACTACCAGAGTTCTCATATTACACTCTAAACTAACACTTTCATGTCACATGGCCTCAATTACAAACGTTTGTTATCTTTTTGGATAGAAATCGTTAATGCGTCAGAGTAAAGTGATAAAAATTGCATGGTTTAGGAGACAAAAAATGAATTTTCATTAAATAAATAACAGACGTTAATAATTAGGGCAACACGAAAAATTACATAGTAAAGGGTACAACGTAAAAAAATTGGCAATTGAGGGGATAAAGTAACAAGGGGTAATAGTTCAGTGGTGTAAGTGTGATTTATCCTAAAATATACACTTATATGTAGGCATAATCCATGTAATTTATTTACATATCCCCAAAGAATTTTGAGCTTATTTACATATCCCCAAAGAATTTTGAGCGCAGAGCCCGAAAACTTGGTGGGTTATTGATACAAAAGAAACAACGAAGTGAGGTAATTCACTTTCTATGGCTGACATCAGTGGTGGAGGGAACAAAGGGCAGGGGCCACGGTACACCTTTATCTATTCTTCCCACTGATAACAAAATCGGTGAAATTTTTTTTAAAAAAATTCCGATTCAGAACATCAAAAATTCAGAAACAAATTCTAATTAAGGGACACCAATCATATTTCCCATCATGCACACCCATATAAAATAAATATATATATGTGTCCGTATATATCTATATACACACACACACATATACACACATACATATATACCTAGCAATACAAATATTCACACACACACACACACAAAATAAAGTCTAATCAGCCTATTGAATTTCAATGACATCTAAGTATCAAAATAATAGCAGATAAACAAATAAATCATTGTACTAATGATGATTGAAAAGGTATATTCAATTATCCATATTACATACCCGACGAATGTGAAATTTGAGGCAGAATCAACTTTAAGGTGCAGAGAAGTTTCTTCTTCAACAAGTACGTGATATTAAATATCAAAATCGGAGAAGCTAAAGCTCGCAAAAGTGATTGAATATGGTATACCTAAGAAAGCTAAGTCGATGAAAAAAAAAGTGTTCCTTTTAGAGAGAGAGTCGGGGGTTGATGGTTTTGGAATACGGGATGGCGGGAGGCTTTATAAGAGTTGAACAAAGTGCTATAAGATTTGACAAAGTCCCGAAGCTAGCTCTGCCTTTATAAGAAATCTTGATAAGACAAACTAATCCTATTCCTAATATAATAAGACAAACTAATCCTATTCCTAATATAAATGTCGGCACCTATAATTTTTTTTATTCTTAATTATTATTATAAAATCAATAATACCCACAAATTGCTTTCATCCAATTTTTATGTTTTATATTCATTTGACTTTTAAGTTCTTTTTAACTCTAACAATGCATCACGTGCGTTACACCTGAAAATTTTTGTTGAAATATTTAATAAAATACATTAAAAAATCTAATTCGTAGTTAAATTAGATATTATCTCATATTTATAATACTTAAATTATTTGTATTCTCTTCATAACTATAAAAATTTAATGGACTCATTTTTTGTGTCTCTTTTATACGAGCTACCAAATAGTATGAGTTATAAATTTTTTTTTCTCAACTTTGTATCCTTTTTTTCTTTCTTGTTTTTAATTTGCGTCTGGGTAAATTTTTATCAAATTATTTTTATTGTGAATGAAGAGAAAAGATAAATACAACAATTTTTGGACATTGGAGACGATATTGTATTAATAAAGTTGTCAATGTATATTAATATTGGGGTTTTAGGAAAAAAATAATTTTATTGCTATATATCATGTTAAACATAATATAACCATTCAAAAGTTTTGCAAAGATAGAAAGATTAGTTTGTTATTTGTTTACAGAGGGATATAATAATAATTTATATATTTAAATACAAAAGGACTTGTTAGTCTTTATAGTTTTTTACAAGGGCAAAATAATAAATCAAAAATTCTCATGCTAAGATACTTTTATTAGTTGTATAGAGTATAGATAAACCTTTTAGTGTCACATTGTATTGATACATTTTTAAATTATAATTTCATAGCATCTGTTAGTCTCATATAAACTACCATAAAAACAACATACAAAAGAAGATGATACCCAATTTAGAATTCAAACAACCATTATTGTAGTATTCAATATTAAAAAAAAAACTGTAAAAAAAATTCATAAAACGCAAAAATATTAAAATTAACAAATAATCATTTGAAAGATGAAAAATTAACCAAAAAGTGATCACTCAACATAATAAGTAGAAACGGATGTGAAAAAAGTGAAGAAAAAAAATCCAAAACTATCGAGCAGTCTATGGAACGAACAAAAAATAAAAAAAAAATGAAAGAAAACATAAGTTTAACCTGATGATATATAAAACGTTGTAGAAGAAGAAGTACGATATGATTGAGTTTTTCGTGTTTGTCGGAGAATAATAAGAATGATAGCTTTGATTTTTTTTGAACGTTAATGATTGATAATTTAGAGAAGAAGAAGAGAAATATATTTACTATCAATGATAATAACACAAAAATTTAATACTAATTTTAATAACACAAAAATATAATAAGAATCATAGTGATTGTTAAATTAATACTAATTTTTTCAATGTTTGATTTAATTCAATGATCCTAATGAATTAGGTCTAAATAGGATAGTTATTAATTAAAACGAAGTAGTGAAGTATATACGGTCAAGATTACTGTTTAATCAGACGGTGAAAATCTCACAAGGATTCAAAGGAGACTGTGTTTACATAAAGAGCTCTAGTGTTTTTGGATTGAACACCCTCCCCTGTATAGTGGTCCGTGGTCTCTCTCTCTCTCTCTCTCTCTCCTTTTTGTGTCTAAGCCGTACAGAAAATCTGGCAGTTCTGTAACCAGCAGAAGACATTCCCTTCCCACCATGAACATTCTCATGTCCCCTTCTCTCTCTAAATTTCAAATCTTTGGTTTTTGGGTCTCCTTATGTTGGTTGTTCTCTTGATTTCTCTCTCTCTCAATCAACCTAAAATCTGAGCCTTTTTAAGTCTCTCTTTATTTGGTTGATCATCTCGAAATTTGAAAATTGCAGAGGTCTTCAATGTGAAAATTTTTAAAGCTCACTTTGACCTCAGAGATCTTGATTAATTCCATCGTCATTAGTTTCTGTTCTTGATTGCATCTCTCTTTTTACTTGTTATCACCTTCTCTTTGTTCTGCATTTTCATTGCATATTCTTGTTTTTTTAATAGGAATAGCATTGTTTTCTGAGTCTCAGTTCAATCTTTCTTCCCTCCCCCCCCCCCCCCCCTCTCTTCTCTCAAATATTCATGGAAAATCTATTACGGGGAAGTTCAATGCCCAAAAGCAGAGTGCAGATTGCGATATGGACGATTGAGCTCCTCCTTATGTTCGCCGGAATCATCTCCACCTTCCTTTTAGTCAAGGCGGCGGTGATTCCATACACGGCGGCGATGGTGGTGTCTACTCTTCCGAGTCTCTGGGTCTCATTCAGGACCTGGTTGTCTCCGCCATACATATACATCATCCTTAATTTCATCATCATCTTCATTGCTGCTTCCTCTACTTTCCACCACCGGAATCGCCATAGCCCCCTGCTTGACGTAGACGATGATTATAATTCACAGGGTATTCCACCACCACCAAAACAGAACAACGAAATCCACGACCGGAAAGCACCAAACACCACCACCACCACCACAAGTTTCTCAGAGAAAGCTGATCTTACCCACCAAACCTGGCGCGATATGCAAGACCAGAACTGGGTTGAACCACCACCACCACCACGGCGAATCAACGATTGGCGATATCACAGAAAGATTATCTTCTTATCATCAAATGGTTGGCGATTGGATTGAGAATCGTCAATTTAATTTTAGTATTATTTAGTTGATTTAATCTATTACGATTATTAGATTTATAAATTCAAACTAATGTTGAGCCCAACTTCAATCTAATACTAGTGTTTGATTAGTGAGAAAATTAAACTAGGACGTCTAATAAGTATATTGAGCTATTTTAAACAAGGATGATCTGTAAAATTAGAAGTCTTTAATTCGAATTTTGATAATTTTTTAAGTTTAGGTGATGAGATATTATTTCTCGTAGTTCGAATGATATGTCTTTGATCAAACTAAAAAAAGAATTAATCGCCTGCTAAAGTCATGTAATAAGACCCGGTCTATGAAATTTTTTTAAACGAGTTAAATTAAAATTAATTAATATTCGACACGAAGTTAAAACGATACGACGTAAATACAACTCGTGAGGACACGATTGTCGCCTTTACTATGTACCAAGTCCTCCGTCACTTTTGGGCTTGAAAGCATCATTCCAAACAACCTTAGCCCTTAGAGTTCAGAACTCTTCCAAATGGAAGCCCTCAAGTTTATCCAATACGTTCTGTGGTAGCTCAAGTGGGTAGCCCAAAATGCATGCATACTACTGATCGAGCACTGAGATTACCAGTTGTAGACTTCCTTCGTAGGATAGTTACTTAATTGATCAAGACTTTACTTTGGTTTCAACTTTTTCAATGCAAGGTTGGGCCTTGAAGGTTGATAGATATCAATGGGACTCCAATGTACTTGATAGCAAAGGCGGAGCCAGTACTAGCCCAGGAGCGGCATCGGCCCACTTTGATTTTTATTTTCACCTATATATTATATATATTTATATAATAAAATAGTTTATAATTTAAATCTTAAAAGATAAATAAAATAATTTTTATTATTCACGGTTAAAATTATTTTAAATTTAATCTAACGGTTAATATTAATACCATAAATTTAATAGAAAAAATAGGTCTCTAAGGATGTGTTTGAAGTGATTTTTTAAAAGTATTTTTATAAATTATTTATCATAAATACTTTTAAAAAAAAAGGTTTTTGAAACCGCTCCACTACTACCTCTGCCACCACCACCATCATTACCACCACCACCACTTTCACCATTGCTGTCGCCACTATTACTGCCACTACGGTCATTGCCACCCACCATAACCATTATCGTCTTCTATCACCACCACTGCCGTCCACCACCTCTTACCCTCACTACAACTGATACTTAAATTTATTTATCTTTCCTCTATATTTGTGATTTAATTTTGAATATGAATACAAATATGTTTATTGTTTACTATTTTTTATTACTCCGTGCCTTCAGGCACATACAATAACTAGTTTATATAATAAAGTACAATACAATTTAAATTTAAAAAAATAAACAAAATGACTGTTATTTTTCGCGGTTGAGATCTTTAAATTTTATTCTAAAATTAATTTGACAGCTAATATTAACACTCAAAATTTAATAGAAAAAATAGGTTTCTAAAGATGTATTTGAAGTGACTTTTTAAAAGTGTTTTTAATATTTATAATTTCTTATAACTATTTTAAAAAAAAGTAATGTTTGAAACCGCTCCACCATCACCGTTCCCACCACCCCCACTCTCACTGCCCCACCACCACCACAACTACCCCTACCACCGCCATGCAGGGATTAGTGTATTTATAATAAATAAATTTCTTATTACTTAACTCAAAAAAATTATCAAAATTCGAATTCCAGACGTTTGAATTTATTGTCCGTCCATATTATTTAGATTAAACTTTTGAGAGCTCTTCAATCAAACCCACAAAATTAATCAGCCTGAATTGTTAAGTGACAGAAAAAATTCCATATGCTGTCTTCAAGTTCATGCTTGCTTGTGGTGTTCCAACAATTGATTGGTCCAATTCACCATTGTGCTGATGTGGACCAATGAGAGCCGAGGGGGATCATACGACATGGCACTATTGTAAGGATGGTAGAATTGGCCAATCCTGAAGAAATTTTGGGATTAAATTTGGAGTATAAATGACATGACAGTGGATTTGAGCTTCTTTATTAGTGCCAGGTCTTTGGACCCCAATAAAAACTCCAAATAATATGATGTCATGTCATTTAAACTCTAAATTTAATTCTAAAATTTGGTCAATGTAACATTACTGTTAACCTATAACTAAAATCACAACGTACATTGAGTTGAGTGTCAACTTGACTTGAGAACACCTGGGCTCCATCTTTGGTGCTCAAACTCATTTTCATGGCTAACCATAAGGTCATTCTAGGTATGACCTGCCCATATGCAGTTAGAGTCCATTTGACAATATCTTCTTGGTCTAGTCAGGTAATTAAGGTGGCATAGAGTTGAAAATTTCCTCTATGACCTCCATTACCTTTTAGGCTTGAAAACATCCTTCCAAGCAACCTTAGCCCTATTATATCTATGTTCAATGCCCTTCCAAATGAAAGCCCTCAAAATTTGTTCGAGTTTATCCAATACTTTCTATGGTACACTCAAGTGGATAGCCCAACAAAAAATACATGCATACTGAGCAGTAAGATTATCAATTGTGGACTTTACTTTGGTTTCAACTTTTTCAATGAGGCTCATGTAGTGTTGGGCTTTTAATAAGCTTGGTAGATACCCGTGGCACTCCAAGGTACTAGATAGCAAGGGCGGAGCCCGTACTAGCTCAGGAGGGGTATTGGCCCACCATGATTTTTAGTATCACCTATATGTTATGCATATTTTTTAATATAACTTCAGTGGTGCCCACCCATAACCTAAACCTATATGAGAAAGAACTATTGTCTCTCATCATCTTATCAACACCCTTGGGGCTCACCACACAAACATCACTTCGGTACATAGTGGCGAGGAGAAATGAGAAACACAGGAAGAAGAACAAGTAACAATAGTGACTCTAACACTCTACTTCCAAAACATGAAAACTCGTCAGGACCATTATAATTTCATTTATTATAAGAGCTTGTAATTAGTCTTTTTATGTTATTTTTCGATTATGTATAGTATGTTTATCAATTTTTGGCCTTATATTTAGTAAACTTTTGAATATCGAATATGATGTAATTAAACATAAATGTATCATATTACTTTTATCCACTGCGAGAGAAAAAATTTAAAATTTGTTAAAGTATTTAGTTCCCACCCAAAAATAATTTTTTAGCTTTGCCCCTGCTTCATAGGTAAATCTCCAGCAGGGAATCCAAGTGTGTCCTTTATTTGTGCTTCCATCCCTTCTTCGACAGCACATGATAGGAACTCCATGGCACTAGGGAAGTATCCAGCCAGCTCTCATTCACCAATGTTAAAAACCATCTGGGCAATGAAAAGGGTATTTGCCTCAACAAATGATTTTTTGTATCAGTAATTACACATGCACTTTTTTTTTTATATCCTTTTAGTGCACCTACCCTCTTCATATTTGTCGGTAGAACAAGGATCTAGATTCTCTTCGTATGTTGACACGTGAAAAGTTGATCTCATCTTCTCTTCTGTTCACAAATTTCATGTCAATTTTATATCGAGTGGGCTGATTTATTTCATTCTTAAAATCAAGTTACACCATTTATTATTTTGAGACTTGCTTGAATTCATGATGATCCACTAAGGAGAATTTGTTTTAAAAAAAATGTATGCAATAGTATATCACTCTCTTACCCCACATAAAATTGTTATAGTAGGACAAAAATATTACACACTTTTGGACCAAAAAAATGTTTGTAGTGATCTTCAAAATTTTCAACCTTAAACCAATTATCCTTTTAGTGCATCTACCCTCTTCATACACCTTGGTTGAGGTTCACATGCAAAGACTATTGAGATGTGTATATGTTATTATACTTATTGTGATTCAGAAATTGAATGAGTAATACAACAAATCACAATTAACAAGTCTATCGAGATGATTTTCTAATTTCATCGAAAATATTTATGGTTCTGTTAAATGTTATCAGAATCTGATCAGATATCAAACCGGTAAAGGGATTGAATCAATGATTCACTAGTTCAATCGTTCGGTCAACTAGTTGGACCCGTCGTATAATAAAAAATAAAAAAATTATAAAATATAATAATTTAACTAAAAATAATATATTCATAAAATTCAAAGAATAAAGAACATAAATGTGTGATTGAGAAAGAGAGAGAGAGAAAGTAGTAAAGGACAATCAATACCACGGAATAGAAAGGAAAGAGCTTTTATTTTAAGAATGTGAAAGGACCATTTGTCTTAGGGAAATGCTATTTGGACCTTATTTGGGGATTTTATCTAAGGACTTAATGATGTAGCTTCAATTTAACTATTGGATTAGTTGTGAGTTCCAATATTAGATAGAGTCCACAACCAATCCAATGATTGTATATCATTAGGTCCCGAAATAAAGTCCCTCACATTTCAGAGAGAGAGAAAGAGGACTTAACAAAGAGAAATGAAAGATGTCATCGTAGTTTGGAGAAGGAACTCGTTACAAGATTTCTGACGTCGCCTTGCCTGGATCTTCTTGTTATTGTCTACTGAGAGTTGTGCTGGGGGAAGGAAGGCTTGAACTTTAGAGGCTGGAGTAAAGAGCCAAAAGAGTGAGACCTCAATCGTCCGATTTTTAGAACCTGTCCAGTTCACCGGTTTTCATAAAAAATCAGCCGGTTTAACAGTTGAAAGACGATTCCTATACCTATGCAGTCCGACTCAAGAACTGGACTGTTTTAGGTCCCGGTTCATAGTCCAACTGGTCCGGTCTGGCTCTGATAACACTAGTTCTGTTATCTACACTCTTATCATAATTTGGATCATATGTATAATTTAGTTTTGCGTAATTTTGCTTTGAATGTATTTACCAACCTTAGTTGCGCTCAGAAACTATAAAATATTTTAAATACATTCCGGGTGTTTAATTAAGCATCGATCTGAAAAAAGGGGAGACCTAAAAATTTATTTCGAGTAATACTATTAGGATTTTTAAAAATGACCTATTTTAACATAATAACATGTATCAAGTGACGAAGTTCAATGAAAAAGTTTTAACCGGTTAGAGTCACAATAACATCATCGAACAAGTTTTATTGCAATACCATTGGAAGGGAAGAAAGCTTCCTTATTATTACAATACATACACACAATAATTTGCATGTTGCATAGGTTATTAGTACTGGTAGCTGATCTTTG